AGCCCTGTGGGCTGGTCTACTCAGGGAGGAAGAAGTCTGCAGCCAATAGTCAGGGAGGAGCTGATGCCTGGTGACAGACAGGTATAAGTTGAGATGCAGATTCTCCAGCCCCAGTCCAGCCTTCACATAAGACCTACACAGCCAAACTCATAGCTTGACAGCAGCTCCATGAGCGACTCACAGCCAAAAGATCTAGGTTCTTGACCTCATAGATTATGTGGGTCTTAGGGGAATTTGTTATGCAATCATATGGAGTTAATACAGTCCTTATGGAAAAGCATAGAGGCTTGCAGACTTACGTGCATTTATGAAGTATCAAAATTACCTTGACATTGCTATGATCCTTTGCAGAGAGAGCAAAGTAAGTTCAAGAAGAACGATTTAAACAAGTCCATGTTCCATGAGGCAACTGTCATTAGAAATTTGAGCTTTCAGGTTTTAGCATCTATGGAACCTTTTATTCATGGCAGTCCAGGTGCCTGTGCCTGCTATTGCTCATTAAACTATATTTTTAAAAATTCCTTAAAAGGGCTGGGGATTTAGCTCAGTGGTTCTGCCACCTGCCTCGAAAGTGCAAGTTCCCAACCATGTTCAATCCCTGGTAACAAAACAAAGCAAAAAAATCCTTAAAAGCCAGAAATGAGCATGAGCAGGAAATATTGCTAAAGATCATACTATGGAGACCCTGGAGTGGAAACCTCCTTCAGTGGCAGTGAGTGGGTGAACATGTAGCACACACATGCTGATAGTGGCTTCTTGCACTAACTGAAAGTATTCACTCATCAAACACTGTGGTTTGTTGATCTTGGTGAACAAGGGAGTCAGGTTAATGTTGCAATTTTCCTATTGTGAAAAGACCTGTAGCTACAGCTGTATATCAAAGTCTTTGAGTGTTTCTGCTAAAACCACTCACAATCAAGAATTCATAATGAGCCAGGAAATCCCTGTTGCAGCTGAAACCTATAAAACAGAGTCTTAGCCTGAGAATGAAATTTAAAACAAAATAAAATATCTGAAAGCTTGTTCTCTTCCCTCACCCACCAGGACTATATAGTCTCAGACAGACTTGATGTCTGGCTTGAATTATACGGAGCACAAAATGGGTGATTTTTAGTGGATAAAATATGGACTATGGTCCACAATGAGTGTTTTAGCCTTTTTTTTTTTTTCTTTTTTGTTTTAGTACCGGGGATCAAACTTGGGTCCTTGGGCTTGCACAGCAGGCGGCAAAACCACTGAGCTAAATGCCCGGCCTTATCCTTATTTTCTTATTCAGCAGATCCCGTATACTGGAGCTGGACTGATCTTGAAAGATCACAGGTGGAGTAAAAAAGGGGTGACTCCCCCATATAACTGTTTCCCCAGGGACATCTACTGTTCTGTATTTTCTGTGTGTCAACTCATATAATCCTCCCAGTATTCTTGTGTGGAATCAACAAGGAACAGACCACAAGATATTAGTGAGTGAACAAAAAGAAAATCATAACACATAAGAAAAGTTGGTATCTATTAAAAATGTGCCAGGCCTTAGTCTAACTACATAGAAAAGCACTAATTCACTTAAGTTTTACATTCTCCTATGCAGCGGCTCTTATTACCCACACTTCATATATGTAGGAGCTGAGGCACCAGAAGTTTACTATCTTCTCCCCAATGCCATACAGAAAGTTTCCAAACTGGGATTTGAACTCACATCTACCACAAAAGCCCATGTTCTTAAGCATTACTTTTTCACTGAAGTGGGAATTTGTGTCATCTTTTTAGTCCTAACTATTGTTTTGTAAATTTGAAGATTTAGGGCCTGGGATGTAGCTCAGCAGCACTGTGCCTGCCTGCCAAATGCAAGGTCCTGAATTTGATTTCTGGTACCAGAAAAAAATTTTTTTGAAGATTTAACAAAATTCATACCAAAGCTTGCTTAAGGTGGAATTTACCAAAAGCTTCCAAAGTTCAATTAGAAAAATATAGACAGATAGCTTAGAAATTATGAAAAATAGTGAGGATCACTTTTTCTAGTGAATTTTAATATATATTATAAAATTTACAATAATTAAAATAGTATGACACTTTGGACCAACAAATAGTGGAACAAAAGAAAGAAGTCCAAGATCACAACAAATCTACATGGCTTTATTCAGTGTCCCACGGGCACTTCATACGAGCGGGGAAATTGTGCCACTGTGGCTGTTGCAATAGCCAGCTGCTAGGGAAAGGAAGAGTTAGGTCCTGCTTTCATAGCTTACTTAAAAATGAATCCCAGTGGCTTAAAAATTAAATCACAAAAGTAAAATACAAAACTATGAAACAGCAGATCAATCTTCCAGGGTACAGAACTTCCCGAGGCTAATCACAAAGGCAAAAGTCACAGACAGGAAGACTGCTGGATTGGTCTCCATCATTCTGCCTTCCTTGGTATAAAACAGTTTAGTCTGAAGACAAAGACACCTTGGAATAATGCAATAGACAAGGGACTGAAAACATCAACGTATGAGTAGGCCTTATACATCATTTGAAAAAAGAAGCACAACACAAGGGAGAAGGTGATGAAACCCAGGAAAAGCTAAGTCACCAAAGAAGAAATGCAAAGAGGTAATAACCCTGTGCTGCAAACATCAGTATCACTAGTAATCAAAGATATGTTAAGCAAAAGGAATCCTCTATCACTGTTTCTCTCTGTCCGAGTCCCTCTGTCTCTCTCGACCTGTCTCTCTCTTGATCTATCAGATAAAATTTAAATAGAATGCAATACTTGCTTTGGGAGGGCAGCTAGGAAAGGATCCTTACATGTCTTTCCTGATTATAAAAGTGCTATCCACTCACTGTAGAATACTCTGAGTAAGAAAATTAAACTTTCTCCTAACCCCACTCTCTGAGCTGATTGGTGACTCTCACGAAACTCAGTCTTGTGTCTGGTGCAGAGCCTGTCGATACTCAAATGAGGACCTCCAGGGCAGAAGGTGCTGCAGAAGATTTCAGCAGGGATGCACACTCCGTCCTCCCTGATGGCCCTGGCTTTGTGCAGAACAATTAGTGGGGACCTGGGAAACAGTTGTTGAGTGAAGAGTGAAGTCCAGGGCTCTGTGACTCTCAGTCTGAAGTCCTCAGCCTCCCACATGACATGCCCTTGTGATATATGAACAGCAGCAGCCTGAAGGTTGAGCTCAAGGCTGGCCCAACAGCATGGCCCCCAGAGAGGGATGCCGCCTTCTGTGACCTTGGGTCACTGATAGCAGTGGGCATGAGAAAGGCCCTGTTCCTCACTCCTCACCACCCACTACAGGCAACCAGGTGAGTGGAGAGCAGGTTGTGATGGCTCTACAGAGATGGGCCAGGGACCCATGGGTCCTAGACAGCTGATGGCAGCTAAAGTTCCTGCTTATGGTAATGAGTATCTGTGGTTCCTGCAAGCACTGAACAATAATTCCAAAAACTCAGACTCCATGTTACCCTTGCCTGTGTGCAGCCGTCTCTCTATATAGCAAAGCCTGTAGGCTGCCGTGGTCCCTGTCTGATGGAAGCAGCACCTGCTTCCTGCTGTGCAGGAGGAGAGAGCATGTGGAGGAAGGGGTAGAAAGAAGCCTGGGAGGCACTGAGGTTGGGAAATGCTTGCTCTAGGGCATGGCAGCTGTGGTTGTGAGGACTGCTGCCTCGACCCGGAGGTGGCCTGGAGGACGTCTCCAGGAGAGTGACAGTGATGGCACCAGCAGGGCTCACAAGGCTCCTCTCAGAAGCAGTGAAGAGGAGATGGGGCCCAGAGGCTCATGCCTGCTGTGGGCAGAACTCACTCCAGCTCACAGCCCAGACCCAGTCTTATCCTCTGAGTCACAGCGTCCTTCTTTCTCTGTGAAATATGATGACTGATGAATGATAGTTATGAGAATTGAATCTCCTAGTAAATACCAGCCATGCACCTCCCTTGACCCTGAGCATGTGGGTGAGCTTGGAGAGCACATTGGTCATGGTTATCCAGGGAAACAGTGATAGGATAGGATGGGGGGGGGGAAGAGAGAGAGAGAGAGAGGAGTCAGATCTAGCCTGTCATCTGTCTCTCATCTGTCTACCTACCTTTCATCCACCTATCGTCTATCTATCATTCATCTACCTGCCATCTACCTGTGTCTACCATCTATCTACTTATCATCTACTTCTATGTGTCTGTCCTATCTATCAGCTACCTACTTGTGTAGATTTATTTTAAGAACTCAGTCGACACAGTTGTGGGCACAGGCAAGTCCAGCATCAGACTACCACAGGCTGAACACTCAGGTAAGAGTCCGTATTTTAGTGCTAAGTCAGATTTCCACAAGTCAGCAGGCCAGAGCTGCAGGGAGGGTTCTCAGCTACAATCCTGATGCAGAATTTCTCTTTTTTTGAGGGGTAGGAATATCTCAGGTTTGGGAGCTGAGGGGTGTAGTTTGATGGTAGAGCTATTGTCTGGCAAATGGAAGATCTTGAGTTCATTCCCCAGGAGTGTCAAAAATAAGTTAGTTAATTAAAAATAAGATTAAAAGTAAAATAAACCAAGAACAGGCAAGCTTGTGGCCCAAGCTGCAATCCTAGTACTCTGGGAGGCTGAGGCAGGAAGATTACAAGTTTGGGTCCAACCTGGGCAACTTAGTGACTTAATGAGACCCTGTCTCAAAATTTTTAAAAAAATGTATTTTTAAAGATTTCGGGATGTAGCTTGGTGCAACCGTCTTAGGTTCAATACCCAGAAGTGCCCAAAATAAATTAGTTAATTAAATACAAGATAAAAAAATAAATAAAATAAGTCAGGCACAGGCACAGTTGCAAGCCTATGATCCCAGCAGTCTTTGAGGCTGAGGAAAGATGATCACAAGTGTGAGTCCAGACTGGGCAACTTAGTGACTTAAAGAGACCCTATCAAAAAAAAAAAAAATTGAACACGGCTTCTCTTCCTCAGCTCGGCGGCAGGGGCTCCCCCTCGGGCCACCGCCGCCGCTGGTATATCCTCACTGCGTCCGCAGCCCGCGGCCGCCATGCAATTCATGTTGCGTTTTAGTACTCAGGGAAAGCTTCGATTGCAGAAATGCCATGTCCCACTGTCAGACAAAGAGAAGAAAAAGATCACAAGAGAACTTGTTCAAATGGTTTTAGCAAGGAAACCTAAAATGCGCAGCTTCCTTGAGTGGCGAGATCTGAAGATTGTTTACAAAATAATACATGCCAGCGTGTATTTTTGCTGTGCTATTGAGGATCAGGACAACGAACTAATTACCCTGGAAATAATTCATCGTTACGTGGAATTACTTGACAAGTATTTTGTCAGTGTGTGTGAACTTAATATCATCTTTAATTTTGAGAAGGCCTATTTTATTTTGGATGAATTTCTTTTGGGAGGGGAAGTTCAGGAAACATCCAAGAAAAATGTTCTTAAAGCAATTGAACAGGCCGATCTCCTGCAGGAGCCCCGTCACGAATATTTTAATGTCCCCGTGTAATAAATGACTACTCATCAAGTATGCAGAATTTCCCAGAGGAAATAAGAGAGCTGATATACTTATGAAAGAAAATGTCCTCAGCATGGTGACTGGTTGTCATGTAAAATAATCATACAACATTTCAGAACTAATATCTTGACAATTGTGTTTTTTCGTTCATAATTTTCTTTCCTGTTTTCAGTCTATATGTCATCTTGACATAACTTATTCCTGCCCACAACTGGTTTAATTTCTTCTTGACAAAATATGTCCTATGTACTTTTATCTCAGACACATACACACACATCTGTGATTAATCTTATAAGAGAAAAACACAGCAATTGTTAATGTTACCAAAGAAAATATAGCTGAAGTGCTCCATCAAAATAAACAATGCCATAATACTGAGAGTGGCTTGTTGTTCAACTGTGGAAGAAAACAACTGTATTTAGTGTGATTACCTTATAGTCTATATAAGTTGATGTTATTTAATGCTTTAACTATAGTTTTATATTTCTGAATACTAAAACCTTTACCATCGATCACTATTGTGAAACTTATAGCATATTTTATTGTAAAAGAAAAAGTACCAAGTAATTCATTGTTTGTATCTATAGAATTTAAGGCCTGAGTTAAGTAAGCTGTCATTAAACAGTAGCTTCAGAAATTACTCACACTGGTTTGCCACTGGAAGACCTACAAAAATGCATTGTGAACAAGCTTAGTGTTAAGCAGGTATACAAATCAGTTATTTCCATTCTTCCCATTCTTGCTTGTAAAACACTACATTCAAAGCACTGGGAAACATGGGTCTTTCATTTCCTTTTCTCCCCCTCCATCCCTCCCCCTGCCCTGCACTATGTTGTTCATCTGGTTTTAATGCTGCATAAATATGCATTGTCTCATGCTTGTTTGCTTTGGATGCTGTGTGCTAAGTTGTAACAAAATGTTGCTTTTATTATCTGTATAAAGCTGCTTGCTTTAAATTAGTAGATTCTGAAATAGCTTTTCTTTCATGTCTAAAATAAAAGTATCGCATGTACTTCAAAAAAAAAAATTGAAAATGGTTGGGAGTATAGTTCAGTGGCCCTAGGTTCAATCCCCAGTTCTGGAAAAAGAAACAAAAATAAAAAGACAGACAGAATAAAGGAAATCTCATATTTTGTTCTCAAAGCCTTCAACTAATTAATTGCACATTGCCCACCCCCATTGTTCTCAACAAAGTTTACTGATTATAAATATTGGTCATGTCTTTTAATATTGTCATAGCAATATCAGGACAAGGGTTTGGTCAAACAACTGTATACCATGACCCAGCCACATTGGGATACACAATTGGCTGTCACAAACAGTTTTATGACTTCTCTGATATTCAGTTTCTCACACACCAAATGGCACTGACCATGCATCAGTTTAAACATTTCTCCCTATCCTTGGTGGTCCAGGAAGGCCTTGTTGCTTGAGACATGGCAGTGAGCACTGTGGCCCTTGCTGGCTGGAGCTGACACTGGGAGGTGGGCAGTGAGGGACATTGTTTTGTTACCACACAAGCTGTTAGGTATTGGCATGAGCTGGGAAGAAATAGCAGAGGAATGGATGAGAGGATGTATGCAAAGGGGAGAGCCCAGAACTGAGCATCCTGTAGGTGGTTAAACATGGCCTTCCTTCCTCCTTTCCCATAGCCATAATGTAAGAAATACAGGACTGTCTTTACCCTGCCAGAAAGTGCATTGTTCCTGTGTTGGTACAGGTCATCTTTGAGCAGGAATGGGTTATGCATGGGGCTTCCCCAGGGAGAAGGTAAAAAAAAAACTTTGGCTACCTCAGGTCCTAAGCAAAGTCACTTTATTCCTTAGTGTGGACAGCTGGAATTTAGGAAGGTGTAAATAATTTACACTTGATCTTAGCCAAAAGGCCGAGAAGCGATGGTGTAAATAATTTATAAAATCCTAGGACCTTATGGGAAAGGAAGGGGCCAAATCTCCAGTTCAGTGGGAGCTAGACACCTGCCCCTCTATAGCCCAGTATAAAGATATTTTGAAACACTATACACTCTCCGAAAATGAAATTCGTTGCTGTTATCACCAATTAATGCACCTGGTCCAAAATAATCAACATTATTCTATGATGGAAAATACAAGAGAAATAAAATGATTTATATTTCATTATGTGAGTGCTCAGGCATAACTATCTTAGGCGACAAAAATGCTCCCAAGGTCTCCAGCACACCCATGTGACAGTGAGGATCCTGGTTGTGGTGGGATAATTCACAAGAGGGAGCCAAGCAGGGTGCCACAGCCTCTGAGGATTAGGAACAAGACTGGGAGCTGCTTTATACCCTCTGGGGCCTGAAAGAGGCCCAGGGGAAGCAACATTTGTAGGTGGCAGTGTACGACAGGAGCTGTATGCAACTTTTGATACAAGAGTGACCTAGGAGCCAAATGTTGTGGCACACACATGTAATCCCAGCACTCTCAGAGGCTGAGGCAAGTTCGAGCCCAGCCTGGAAACCTTAGCGAAATCCTAGTCTCACCTCCTCCCGCCCTCCATGCTCCTACCAGCTCATCTGATGGCCGAGCCCTTGTCAGCTTCCAGTCACTTCAGTTTCTAAGGTCTTCTCAGCCCCCAGCATCCTAGCCATCATGTAGCTTGCTCGTGCTGATTCCAGATAAGGACAGAATTTGCCTTTCATAACCCACAAGAGGGCACAAGTACCTGATCTTTAGCCGTCCTGAACCTCTGGTGTCATCACAAAGGCTCTTCTCTGTTTTAGGTTTTGTCAATTTAAACATACTGAATTCCAGCCTTCTCTGCCAGTTTGGAGGGAAGCTTGTCTCTGATGGAAGGCAGGAGGCTGCCCCCTTCACCTAGCATTTTCTTCCCAGGCTTCTGAATAAAACTCAGAGGAAGTGGAACCCATCCCAATGGTGGTAGGCAAGTGCTGTTAGAGGTTTGATTCCCCCAGGAGGAGGGTAAGTCCTGGGAGCCTTGCCTTCACCCATTTGGGTCTCTGAACCCCAGTCTCTTCTGAATTTTATGTTCTGTCACATAGCACAGCCCATGCCAGCTGCAAAGTCCTATGTGAGTGAAACTCACCTAGAATCGCATTCAGCAAAGAGAGGAACCCCTTGCTTATCTGGTGGACCTGGGCCAGGGGATGTCCAGAGGCAGCCTCCGCTCTACTTGTCCCTCCCTGGTTTCTCTTCCCAGCTGCAACAGTGGTGGGGATGGGGCTGCAGCCCATCTGGCATGGCTGAGAACCGAGGCCCTGGTCTTTCTCTCCAGCACCACAGTGAAAAGGCTCAGGGCTGGGAATTTAGCTCAGTGCACTGCACCTGCCTGGAAAGTGTAAGGTCCTGAGTTCGATCACCGGCACCAAAATAAATAAATAAATAAACAAACAAATAAATAAATAAATGCATAAATAGATAGATAAAATTTAAAAAGGCCCAGTGCTCTGGGCCACATAGTAAGAAACAATGTATCTCATTTCATTTGGAATGAAAATGCCAGCCTGGCCAGTGTGGCATGTTTATGACACAGAATGGCACTTTCCCAAAGCACGCCCTCAGCACAGAGAGGTTGGAGCTGCTCCTTCTGGTCAGAGAATTGGCATTCATTCCACCAAGGTGACTTTCAGGTTGCCGGCCTCACTTGAAGCCCACATGTGCTCACTGTGGTTATAAGTTAGGGCTCAGATAAAGAGCTTCTCTTTACCAAGCACTTACTGGTCCCAACACTGCTCAGTTCTCCATCTAATCTCCTCCTCTCCATCTAAGGGAAGTGGAGGAAGCTTCAGGTGCTTCTGTCCTCAGGACACCCGCAGGGCGTCCTGCAATCAAAACAAGCAGGGATCAAAACAGAGCCTCCTCTCCTCTCTCTTTCATGCCCTTGTCGCCAGCCTCCCTGTGCTCACTGCCTCCAAGCAACCCACGCTCCATGGTTTTGCCGAGGACAGAGGCTTGCACTCTGCCCCCAGTCCCACCTCTGCCGGACCTCCCATGGGACAGGTCTCAGAACACCTGCCCTCCCATCTCTCCTGCTTCTGTGCACAGTGCTCTCATTGGTCTGATGACTCTGTGCCAAGCAACCACAGTGACAGCTTCATTGAAACTGCTTCAGTACTGAGTGGCGTGATTAAAAAAGCTGGCAGAGCCCTGCATCCACTCATGGAACTGAATTGCTAAGGTGAGTGGAAGCCTGAAAAGCACTTCATAAAAAAGCCCTTGAAGGCTAGGAATCTAATAAAGCTGCTGATTCTGAATATAATCTGATTCGAGGTTAAAGCAAATGTATTCGTCTGTAGAGTGTCTACTTAGTCTATGAGGAACAAGTGTTTCCAAGTATCATTGACACAAATGCTTTGTAACTACAAGCAAAAGCAAGTGCTGTTTAGCTGGGGGTTTTCAGCTTAATAACTCACTAGAATCTGGAAGTCTGGTCTCCCAATCTGAGGATTAAACATCTCAGGGCCAATGCCCCACCCTGCAGTGCTATGCATGTTGTAAAGAACACTTGGTCAGGGAGTGGGTCAGTCAGCTCAGGCTACTGTACCAAAATACCACACACTGGGCAGCATAAGCAACAAAAGTTTACTTTTTTCTCAGTTCTGGAGGCTGGAGGTCTGAGACCAATGTGTCAGCAGGGCTGGTTTCTCCTGTGGCCATTCATCTTGGCTTGTAGATGGCGTCTTCTCCCTGTGTCCTCAGCAGGGCATCCCTCTATGTGTGTCTGTGTCCTGATTTCCTCTTCTCATAAGAATATCAGTCACACTGGACTAGGTCCTATCCAAGCCAGCATTCCTAATTTAGTCAGCTTGTCAGAGACCCTGTCTCCAAACACAGGCACATTCTGAGGTCCCAGGGGTTAGGATTTCAGCACATGAATTTGTAGGGGACACAGTTCAGCCCACAACAAGTGTTGATCACCAATTCTGATCCTTCGCATTGAGGTCCTCAGGGATGCAGGTGCTTTGAGTCACCCAGGAGAGATTTAGAACTCTATTTCCAGAGCCCACTCTG